TCTAAAAGTTGAAATTTTGCCCAACAAGCCCCAATAGCGGTGTTAGGCAAATCGATAACTCACTGAATCACAGGGAAATTTTTATTATTATTTTTTATTTTTTTTTTTTTTAATATTTTTTTTTTATTTATTTATTTTTAATATATTTTTTTTATTTATTTTTTTATAATATTTTTTTAAATATTAAAAAACAAATTTTTTTTATAAAAAATAATAATAATAAGATCGTTTGGATATTTTTTTGGTGTAATTTTACAATTAAAAGAGTATATTTAAAATTTTAAAAAATCGTAGTAAATTTAAAAGTTAAAAAAAAACGGAGCATTATTCAAATTGAATTTTGGTGTATTTTTACAATAAAATCGGATATTTAAAAATTAAAAAGGATTATATTTAAAAATTTTAACAAAAGGAGTATATTTAAGAATTTAAAAAAACGGAGTTTTTTATTTGTGAAAATTTTCATAATCCTTACAAATACTAGATAATTAATCAATTTATTTGAATAAACATAATATATATACAATGATAATATAGATATATATTTTTAAGGAAAAACAAAAATAGTTCTATATAAATTTATATCATTTAAAAATTTAATTAATTATATTAGACATATTTTTAATTATTCTTATATATAAATGAGAGGAAGATTTTCTTCCATTTCTGGGGATGCTTGCCTTAAGATCCCTCCATAAACGCTCAATACGTTGAGTGTGGGTTGATATATCATTAGGGTGTATAAAGTTTTTGCTATGATTGACAGAGTAATGATCATATCCATTTTCATTCAGATTGTTATAACTTGGTAAAATATTTAATTTTAAGATTTATCAATATTTAATTTACCCCTTCCATTAAAAAATTTCTACCAAATTTCAGAAGAACTTATATTTATTAAAAAAAATAATATTAAAAATTTCCCCGTGATTCAGTGAGTTACCGGCAAATCACTGCAAGGGCCTCTTTAAACCATCAGTTTTTTAAGGTTTTAATGAATTGAAATGCATTTTTTCATTAATAATTATTTTATTGTTCAAAATATCGTAATACTTTTAAATTGAAGCTAATTATTATATTAAATTGATAATTAATTTTGTTAATTAATAAATATTTTGGACTTATAACTATAGAGATTATTTATTTTTTAGCATATATCCTAAATATCATTCATACACAGTCATGAAATTTTCTTTCAAAGATTTTGAAATAATTTTTTCCATACTAACTACCATAATTGACATGTAGGGTTTAGCAAGCCCTGATAGCTTTAAATATTGACTAATCATGATTGAAATAATATCTAGAAAAAATAAGTACTCATAATGTTTTCTTAAATTATAAGAGAGGGTTAAAACATTGCTATAAATAATTTGTATATAAATGATTATATAACTTAATAAAATAAAATTCTGTTATGTAAATTTGAATTTGACATCAAAATTTTGTCTTAAATAAAATTTTTAATTAATTAATTATTTCAAATGACTTTTTGCCTATAGATACATAATACTAATAAAGCTATATTAGGATAAAATTTAAACTTCTAGTCTATTTAATTTTAAAATGAGATTAAGAGGTTTGCCAAACCCCGGGATTTACCTAGCCCAAGTCTTCCCTTTTTAGAATTCATAGGCGCAACAGGATTTTGTTAGGAGGGGGGAGACATATTGTTATTTTAAAAAGTTATTAACTTTTATATTTTTCTTTTCAATATACATTTTTGAGGGGAAAGGGGGTTTAGGGGTAACTTATTATCTTAAGATGATATTTATGAAAACAGGCAAATTTCCAAAGGGAAACTCTCCAATTGACCTCCCTGGCTGCGTTGTTTGAATCCTAAAAGAATGAGCTATTTAAAATAGTGAATATATATATTATTTTTCAAACATTACTTTTTTATATAAATTTAAAGAAAAATTTTATACCTTCATGTGGTAGATTGATCAAACAACTAAAATAATGAGACCAAAACATATTAAGTTTTTTTATTAATGTAAGTCTAAATTTAAATTATCTTAGTCTATTGATCATTTAATATCATTACGAAATTTTAATTTAAAATTTGGGGTTTTTAGAAAATTGTAGTAAAAATAATTTTAAAAATTTAATTAAATATGCTTATATAATCATAATCAATATTTTAGGATATAAATATTCATTTTTAATTGAGCTTATTTAACATTCCCTCTAGTTTAATAAATTCATTTAACCCTAGTTTACCAGTAGGGTAAATATTTCCGCGAAATTCAAACGGGAACATAAATATTAAAAAGTTGTATCTTTTGAGGGTCCAATCAACCTTGCGATAAAAGCATATGATTATAGATACTTTATTAATTTTTGTTAAGTTAATTTAGTTAATTAACTATATATAGGTATTTTATCACCCTTTGCTCTCAATCTCTCTTACCTTCACCTTAACATTTTAAGACACTTGAAACTTTTGTCACGCAAATTTTTTTGGCAATTTTAGATTCATATGGATTATTATTCTTTATCTTGTATAAAAAAAATAACAAATTTAATGAACTAAAATATTTCATAAAAAAATAATTTTTGTTGTGTCATTGTCTATAAACATTTTCGCTTATTTTTCTAAATTATTTCAAATATTTTGCTGGACGATGTCCTTTTTAGAATTCCTTCTAATAGGAAATATTATATAAAGTAAAGAAAATAATCAATATTGGAATATGAAATTCCAAGCTAAAGTTACGATTATTATGATCATGTTTCTAAAGAGTAAGGCCTTGGAAGAAACATAACTAGTGATGATCCTTTTTTAACTAGTTGTGCATTAATAGCTAGATAGGTCTTAAAAAAATATTAAAAGAAATAAGGCAAAATTTCCTAAGGGGTTAATTCGAAGGAAATAACAGACATCTCTCATTTAAATTTTGTTCATTTATCCAAAGAAAGAAAAAAATCGTAAATATTTTTAGCTTATGCATGACAAACCATACATTAATATTGCTATAAACAAATTAAAAATTATTATTTTTTATAACTCAATAAAAGCTGCCCTTGGAAAAAAATGGTGCAAATTTTTCAAGTCCTTTATATTTTATTTGAGGGGTATATTCGACCCTGTTGATGAGATATGTAATAGTAATTTTAGGTTTATATTCCCACTCTCAAATGATGATAGCAACGTGCCTCTGTTTCCCTACATTTATTATATATTTTGAATTTTAAAAAGAAACTTTAAATTTAAATGATTATAATTTATTGCCACACATTATAGGATCTCACAAATTTTCCAAGTCCCCTATTTAAAGTAGATAAAATTATGAATTTTACCCAATAAATGAATATTTTGTAATATAGTTTTTTTTAAATCATGATATATATTTTTTAAACTTTGTTCTTTATAATAGATGCTTCATTTTCTGACAGAAATAATGCCGATTCCAATAAGAAGTTATCAAATTTTATGAAAGCCATTCTTAATTCGGTGCATGATACAAAAGATGATTATCAACTTAACTCAAAAAAAATTTCTCTCTATCCGAATAATGGACTAAATCCTAACAGAAGACTAAATGACGAAAGTCTTTATTCTAGTGTTGATAAATTCTTACCCATGACAGATATGACAAATGATGGTAGTTCATTTACTAATAATAAAAATAATCTATTCAATGCAATCTCTAACGATGGAACGTCTGAAAAAATTACGCCCAAAAATATGGTGAGCACAACCAAAGATAAAATAAGCGATATATCAGCTCAAAGCGATTATATTTTGTGTAATAATGTCATTAGTAATTCTTATAAAAAACCTGCCAATTATTTTTCTATTTTTCAAAATTATGTGAACCACTACCGCTCCTATAATGACGATGAATCTAAAAATGGATCTGACCATATTGAAAACTTTATATCGACCATAACGGCAACGCCTAAAAAAAAGCTAACTTCTCAATTCTTTAATTATAATGGTGGATATCGTTTTATTTTTAATAGCGATAAAGGCAGGCGTAATATCTTGAAGGCTGGATATAATGATAACCCGGCTGCAAATCAAAACGATAAAAGGGACACCGATGATATTGAGAATGGGAAAGATAATAATGAACAGAGCATTCCCGAGTCTAATAAAATTAATAACTTTACCTGTGATGAAATCAATAACTTCGAGTTCTATGAGAAATGTGATAATGAAACACTAATCAATCTTGATAACAATGATGACTTCGAATCAGAGTCTCATAAAAATAATGAAGATTCCCTTAATTATTATAATAACTTTTCAATTATTTTTGGAAAAAATAAGTTAACCCATTCGAAGCCAGATATACATGTCGATAATAAAAATAACTGGATCGATCGTCCTGAAAACAAAGATGATAATTTGTTACACTTCACGGATATAAAACAAAACTTAAATTCAGGAAAAATTTATGTTAAAGAGAAAAATAATATTATAGAATATATTGATCCCCCTGAAATACCTCGAACAACTTTTACTGATAAATTAAATTTGTATAAATTACCCGGTAATAAAGCAATGCCTAAATTTAGCGGGATAACTCACAAGTTTGTTTTAGAGGAATGCTTGGATACTTTATTGTCTCAAGATGATAGCAAGCTTAATGACGATGGAGACATAATATCTATGAAACGTCTTTAAACCCATTTTTATTTAATAATTATTTTTAAATTAATCATTTTGTCAGATTTTATCTAGAATATTTTGGTTTTTTGATATATTATAATATTTTCTCATGAGAATCAAAATCACATTATATTATTTTTTTAACGAATGCTCAAAAAAGAAGAAATTTCGATCAAAAAAACTATATAAGATTCGATTTATTTTTCTATTGATGGCTGGTAATATTTTCTTATAAAATTGTTTATATAATATATTGCACTGAAATTGATGAGGATATCCATTTGAAATACCTGAATATATACTTCAAGTAACTGATTATTATACCCATCCAATGATTTATGATGGTTCATTTGTAAAAATAAATTATACAAAAGAGTTTTTAGAATTTATTTTCTTCGTCATTTTTAAAATAATTAGTTTCCCTGATGTTAGTTGTCATGGATTCATTGTACATGGCATTTTTAGAATGATGATAGGCCATATGAAGATGCCCGCTACCTTCTTCATACACATTGAAATAAGACGTGGGTTCGGCAGACTGGTTAAGTAAATTTGGTTGATTAGGATAATACAATGATGGCTCTTTATAGTCCACGGGGAAGATCGGATATTTTTCGTAACAATGAGTATTAAATTTATCGTATGTAGAATAATATAGATCCTGACTGGTTCCTTGGTGTCTGGGGTATGGTATGATATGATTAATATTGCCATCAATATTACTTGTTATAGAGATCTTCTCGTTAAAATTGTATTTGGTAGGGGTTTCAGAATTATTTAGGGGAACTGAAATACTTGATCTGTAAGTGTCAGGTGTAATTTCAATAGAGTTTGATCCTTTAGAAGTGTTTTTGATATTTATAGGTGAATACACTTGGATATAGGGGGTTGGTATTGATCTCTGCATTAGTTTAATTCTATCACAATTTTGAAATTTTGTAGCAGGAGACTTGCTTGGATTTAGTATTTTTTCCTGTTTTCGGTATTTAGCTCTCCTATTTTGAAACCATACCTTGAATAAATATACAAAGAGAATTAGTTATATTTGATTTGCAAATGATTTTACGTGAAAATTAAGTTAGCAAATTTTAAATAATATTATTAGAAATTGGAATTAATGATTTAATAAAATTAAAATGTAATTAATATAGTAAATTGCAGTTTTTCACATCCATAAATAAATAGAAATATCAAAAGTATGATTCTCAACATGTATATTGGAGGTCTGAAATGCCCGGGTCGGTATCTGGCCCGACCCTCGTTTGAAATATTTTATTTAGGCCGGGCAAAATTATTATTTATTAGGATGGATTATTGATGAAATCTGATATTTAATTAATAGAAGTGATAAATTTAATCTCTCCCCAATATTATATATTATAGATAATGGTTGATTTGATTCAACTACATTCATTTCCTGTTAAACCTAATTAATTAATAATTTTAAAGGTCAAGCAGGGGGTGGACAACCCTTGTAAAAAATTGGAAACAGGCTGGGGTGGGTCGGATAAGCTAAATTCCTACCAGTCCAGGTCTAAAAGATTTGTCATTTTAGTTTCTAATGTATATTATATGCTAACTCATTATCATCAATTAATAATTGCGATGTTTAAAATTATTTGGCACCTTTTTTTATTCCTATTTTCTGGTTATGATAGTAAAAATATAAATGATTGTTTATAATTAGAAGCTGATTTAATAATAATCTTATTCCTGGCTTTCTATACTCCCTCCCATCTTCATTTTCCAAGCCAATGTATATATTATTCCTATCAAATCAAAATCAGTAAAATATCATATAATTAGCAAAAAATGTATAAAAATTAGCATAACATACCTTCCATGATATTCAAGCGATAGCTTTAGAACTCCCCAATCTCATTGACGAATTTTGGTCATACTCCCCCCCCCCCTTATTTCTGGTAAGAGATGATTATAGATGATTATGCTTATATTTAAACTGATATGAGCGCGGCTAAATAAAATTATCAAGCTTTTTATCTTGACGAAATGGTAAGAGACAGTCAATTTTAGGAACTGCCAAATTATATTAAGGACAAATATTTTTTTATGTTAAAATGTTTTTTTTGTAAAAATCTTGAAGGATGTAAATTTGATTATGTGACATTATATATATTTTTTGGAAGAGAAAGGAATTAGGAGGCAGGCAGTTTAGAGAGATTTTATAAGTTTAAAATTATATTTAAGAGAACAGAGAAATTTTATAATGGGAAATATCCCCACGACTTCCTCTTGGCGCATATGAAAAAAACTATTGCATGGATACTTCATATTTATTGAATATAACATTGCACTTCTTTAAATTGCGAAGATATCATATCAGACTTTGTATAAGAGTGGGGGGGGGGCGGTACGAAATTTTTTCTTTATAAAATTTTGATCAGGTATTTTTGATTGTCCTTGTTATTTTTATTATTACTTGATTTTTTAGAGGTCATGAATGGCTGAAAGCCTTACCGAGCAAAAACCTGAAGAATGTCTTAACCAATGAACGACCAAGAGTGACTTTAAATTATAGACTCGGATAAGACGTAGTTCAACCTCATCATTGACACTTTTTTGATAATAGATTATTAAGTTTCCTTTTAAAAATGCCTAATATTCTAGAGCCTTGCAATCTTTCAACAGATGAAGATCTGACCCCTATCCCCTGGGCCATGGGCAAATCCTTTATTTGGAATTATACATGTGTCTCATCCTTCCCCATAAATATAAATAGCACCAGCTTACTCTAACAGAGACTTTATAAAAGTCTCAGAAATTTCATATTCTCGCCAATTGTAACTTCTACTAACGGGCAGTTGGCTCCTACCACCTTTAATTTTTTTTTAAATTTTATGTCACAAAATAAAATTACAAATATTTGAGCCTAGGGACATACAAAATATGTTTAAATTTAACTATTATTAATTTTTAAGAACCTATTCATGTTTTTCTTAAAATTTTTTTGGTTCGAAATATTTTTATTAATAATATAATCTTCTTTAGAGTAGGGGAGACTAGGGTTAGTGGTAATTTTTACAAAATTGGCTATAGCTCTTGTTGTTTTATAGATAATATAAAAAATAATATATGATTGGATACCTAAAACTATACTCTATAAAGGTGCCTTATAAAAAATCTTAAGAATATATTTTTTTTTAATTTTTTTTTGTAAAAGTGAAAATTTTGTTGAACAAGCCCCAATAGCGGGGTGAGGCAAACCACTTCAAGGGGCTTCCTAAACCATTGATTTTTTAGGCCATAATATTGAAATGCATTTTTATTTATTAATAATGATATGTATAGAATAATTTTATTGTTTTATTGTTCAAAATATCATAATACTTATAAATTGAAGCTAATTATATATAAAAATTGAAACTTAACTTTGGCTAATTTAATAAACATTTTTGGACATAAAAAAATATGAATTTTAAGGAGAGATTACGATTTCTTAGCATAAATCCTAAATACCAATCATATACAGCCATGAAATTGCCCTTTCAAGATTTTGAAATTTTTTTCATTATTAATTGCTATAATTGACGTGTATGGTTTAGCAAACCCCGCTAGCTCTAAATTGACAAATCATGATTGAAATAATATCTAGATTTGATAAATACTCATAAAACTTACCCAAATTATAGAAGAATGTTTAAACTTTGTAATAAAATTTAATTTACTTATTGATCATATATTTTAATAAAAATTAAAATTCTGTCATGTAAAAATCCTTTGAAAATTTCATCAAAATTTTATTTCTTAAATAAAATTTTTAGTAATTAATTATTTTAAAATATATTTTGTCCATAGATGTATACTAATGAAAACTATATTAGGATAAAATTTTAACCTTCTGGTGTATTTAGTTTTAAAATGAGATTAAGTGGTTTGCCAAGCTCCGGGGTTTACCTCCCCAGTCTCCCCTACGTTGAACATTCAAAGTGCTAATTCTAAAATATATGACCATATTAATGCTTTAATAATTACAACAAAATTTTGGTGAACTTTGCCATTAAAAAGCGTAAAGTATTTAATTTAGGGTAGTAATTAAAAAAGATTTATTGGGTAAGGCGGAGGGAGACACGGAGAGGTTGCATAAACATTTTGCACCTTTTAATCAAAAATTATATAAATTGACGATTTTACTGGAAATTGTATATTTCGATTTTTCGCCATTTTTATGACGAATATGCAGATTAGAATATATTAATTAATAAATAAAAATATAAATATAATTTACAAATGACTAAACTAGCTGATATTAATAATAGTTAATGTAATAAGCTTAACACAAAATATTAAAAATTTCGAAAGGGGTTGACATCTAAATTTATTGGCGGGGGGGGGGGGGACTGTTCTCTTGCCCTTTCCAGTTACCGACCTATGCTTGTAAATATATATCTTACCTAGCGTATTTAAGATATGTATATTGTAATAATAAATAATTACTGAATTTTTTAGAAATTTGGCTATAAGTTTAGTTAGGCAGATTGAATTTTTTAATATAGCCGCTGAAAGTTTAAGATCGGCCTTGAGTGTCACAGCTAGGCCTAAATCAGAGGGGGGGGCATATTTTATTAAAAATCATATATGTAGTGATGGGAGGCAGACTTCGAGATGCCAACCCTCTTCAGAATATTTTTTAACAGCTTAGTCATTTTTTATTTAAAATCAAATTATAAAATAAGATACCATACAAACTATATCAAAATAAAATATATTTAAAAAAATAAATAAGACAATATGTATTTAAAAAAAATTAATAAATGAATATTATAATAAAAAATATGTTTAAATTGTATTTTCAAATATCAGAGACCTGCACAGATCAAAATTTTAGGCCCAGTCCAGATTTTGAAAGCATTTTAAACCCGAATTTTTTTTTTTAAATTCCAGAATTTTTTATTTTTGAACTTTATATGGCCTGGCCTGAAGTCTTTAAATATTTATTTTAAATCATTTTTGGGCTATATTATATAAATTGTTTCTAAGGAAAATATAAAATATGAATAGTAAATGAATTACCTTCCCATTATATTATTTAACAACTGATTTATTGATATAATTTTTATTTTTTTAAATCATCCTTGCCTTAATATTTAATAGAATCACACAGCCTCTCCCCGAGCTGGTATTAGGACATGTTAAATATATTTAAAAGCAAAAAATTAAGAAATTTTATTTTCTAGAAGATATTAGTATGATTAAGACATTAGAAAGAAACTCTTTAAATAAATATATGCTTGATTTTTATTTTTTTTTTTTAAATTGTATATAAAACAATTTTTGAAACTAATTTTATTTCAATATAATTTGATGTTCTAATCTCTCTAGATAGCAATAAATGATGAAATTCTAAAATTTATTACCTAGCAATACATGAAAGAAATATATATGTAAAAAAGGTATCTAAAAATTTAAATATCGGTCTTTCAAGTTCAAATAACAAATATGAAAGACATTAAAGAAGCTATCTAAAATTTAAATGATTGGATTTCTTTTCATGTATTCTGTCCATCAATTTCACGTGACTTAATAAAAAAAAAGAGTATAATTTTATCGATTTAAAATCATAAAATAAAAATGAATAGCTAGGAATTCATTCAAACCTTTAATACATTAAAATATTTATATAAAAATAAAGGATAATCATATTACACGGTCATATGCACTAATTACTACATATATACTTGCAAATTGATTTATATATTTTCTAATGGTATCTTTCAACAAGAAAAACAAAAAAATCTGTCATTATTGAAAAATATTATTTTTCATTTAGAATAATAAAATCAAATAAATACCAATTATTAATTTTTTAAATGAAACTTGCAAAAATCTCGTAAAGTGTGAGAATCTCATAATATTATCTTCCTTTTTTTTAAAGCCATTATTGATTTCGTAATAATATTATAAAAATAAATAAGTTGCCTTTTTCAATAATAAGTGCAAAATTTTGATAATTTGACAATTTTGACAGGCTTTTAAGTTAAGATGTATAATAATTTTAAAAAAATTTTATGATTTTTTATTATTTTATATTTTAAATTTATTTTAGAAAAATATAAAAAAAATATCTGAGAGCCCTATAATTTCTAAACTGTAAAAAAAATTTATTTTATAAGAAAGTAAAAAAAAAATCTTCGTTTCACTTATTATAGTCAGATAAGGTATATCACTGGTTTTTACATTTATATAAAATCATTATGATAATTCAAAGATTTGTTTAGGCGTGGTGTATTTTAGATGTCTGCGGTAACATCTGAAAATTTTTTATTTGGCCGGGAAAAATATTAACGGACCAGGTAAAAGATTATTGGGCTGATTTTTGATGAATTTTGTTGTTTGATAGAAGTGATAATCGTTAAAGTGTTGTGTTTTTAATTTAACCACTCCACAATATTATAATTAGTTTTTTATTTTGGTGTTCACATATATTTCAGGTTAAGTCTTGTATTTAAAAAAACCCGAGCCTAACCTTAGTAAAAAATTGAAAACGGCAGGGGGGGGCAGGTGCCGGACCCGAAGCTAATTTCCAACCGGGCAAGCCCTGAAAATTATTCCAATTGTAGAACTCTAGTTATTTATATTATATTAAATTGACAACATTCTAAGGTTATATTGATACAATATCAAGAAATTTTCCTTACTTATAGTATGTTTTATTACGAATTTTAATATAATCGGCGGAAACATTAAGTATACATAAAAATATTTTCACTTTTTGCAATGTATAGAAGTAAAGACACATTTAACTGTATAATCGTTATTTAACCCATTTCTTTCAATTACAAATTTCTGGTAAATGACATCATCCACCATATATATATATATAACTTTTCTTAGTTTAGTTCTTCTTTTTTTAAAAAAAACCGGAAATAAATTTGAACCTATTCGGTTAAAAAAAATTTTTACAATTAATTTTTTCGTTAACTATTAAATGAATAATTTTTTTTCAGATGAAAGACATTATATTGCTCAATCTTTTACTTTCATAAAATTAATATTACATATATGTTTCAATCCAGGCACTGAAATTTGAGGGAGGGGGATGGTAAATGGTTATGAAAACGCTAACTCATTTGAATAAATTTGGAGGAGGATTAGTTTTGATTTGGATTTTTTTTTCTAATTTTGATTTGGTAGGAGAGGATAAATTTTAGGAGGAATAAAAGGGTAAAACTTTCTGAAGGTGAGGATGGTAAATCGTCATTGGCTTAGGGATTGTAGTGTAGAAGACCCTAGATTAATCCAATCCTCCATCCCTTCTCGGATGAATACTCTAATTTACATTTTAAAAAATGGAGGGGAGGGGTGAAATAATTAAACGAATTTAAATGGCAAATATAAGTAGAATGTATAAAATTTTAATAAAACTGTAATCATCTAAAAATTATATTGATATTAATAACTTATCGAACAGGCTATTTTAAAATTTATAATAGATTATTTTTTTTAAAAAAAGGATTAGAATTGTTAATGTGATGTTAAGTTAGAATAAAATTCAAAGGGCGAAGATTTGATACAATGGATTTAATTTGTGCCAGAATTCCTATTATTGGGAAGACCAATTTATTTTAAATATTCATAATTTTTTTTAATTATAACAATTTATTTTAATTATGCAATCAATAATATTTGTTTTATTATGTATTAATTATAAATAGAAATGAAAAATTTTGCGTTTTGTGGGTTAAATTTGCTATTTGGCATTATTGTAAGGGCGCCAATGATCTAAAACCTCTCCTCCCATTATTGATAAAATAATATACATTGCAATGGATAATGTCAGAGGGATATATTAATAAAATCATAGCAATTTCTGCTAATTAATTATTAGAAAAATTTTTCGAAATGATAACGGGAAATATAGGAAAAATAGAATAATATTGGGAATATATCAATTAATATATAATAGAATATAATTTCATTTCAAATGTATATTGTTTTTATCGTTTTTTTGAAGAGACTTCAATTCATACTTGACAACAAGAATTAAGAAATTAGTCAATCATAGAGCTTTCTTTGTAAAATAGATATTCGTTCTTTATGAAACAAGTATTCCGACCTTTTCGCATCCCATTTTCGAGATTATGAATAAATATTTTCAATATTTAGTAATTAATGAAGTTGTTAAAGTATCTAGTATCTAAATTTAAAGTTGTATCTATATGTAGATATATTATAGGTATCTCTATCTATTTTTAGTTACATTTTGTCAAAATTTTATTTTACTATTTTTATATAAAAATAATAATATTTGGATTCAATTCATTAAATATTATGTCCGAGTTTATTTCATTACAAAACAAACCAGACAAATTTATTTCAAGCAATGAGTGGCGAAAACATGATAAATTTTAAATTATAATTATATTTAATAATTCCTTTATTTAAGACTCAGCCTAAGGCAGGGTGTTATAGTTTTTTCGCTTATAACTAGTGTTTGTATATTGACTCGAAAAACCGATTGATGAATTAGTATATATTAAACAAGTATTACATATAGGCGCTTCTAGATTTTTAGTGTTTTTATCATTTTTGTTCTAGTGTGATACCAATTAATACACTTTTATTTTGCCAAAAATATGTTTTTCTTTAAACTCTTTACCAGTAAGTTGAATCAATAAAATCAACTAAATAGGCAAATTAGTGATATAATATAAGTTTCAATGCTTACAAAAGTTTGGCTGACTTCGCTCTAGCGGGATATCTTCGTTATTATTTGACTTGCAATGCTTATTTATTATGCCTTGTTTAAATTGATTAAAGAATAAATAAGTAAGACCCTAAAATTGCTAACCACATATTTAGAGCGAGCTTCTATATTCACTAGTGTTGTTCGGCTCGTTTTGAGCCGATTTTTAAAAAAGGCTAACTCAATAGAAAAATATTACGCTGGCCTGAAGATTTCGCCCATTGAAGGAACAAAGGTCTAAACATATATTATCCAAATCTAGAGGCAATATTTTTCTGGGTAAAATTTTGAGTTAGCCGTTTTTAAAAAACGAGCCGTTTAACAACACTAATATTCACCATTCTGGTTTGACGTTTTGATAGTTTTTCCTTATTCACTGCTTTGTTTAATATAGTTTCATAGTTTCAGAATTATTTTGATTATAACTCGGTTTTTTTGTGGAAAACCTATTGAGGAGTTAGTAAGTACTAGTCAGGCATTAAATATTAGTACAAACAAGATATTTAGTTCTTCGACATATTTCATTTTGGCAAGATCCCCATTTTGTAATTTCTCAATTTACTAATAATTTTTCTTCTTTATATTCTCTCTCTAACAATTAAAATAATATAGCACAACTTTGATAAAATTTTTAAGATAAATGCTTTCAATAACTTTTTAATAGTAAGGTTGACCAAAATTTTATTGATAATTGTTTCTTTTAAAGCACAAAACATTGACACAAATGTTTAAATAAATGCTTCCAATTGTTTTAAATTTAACGGAGATGATATAAAGCAATTTAATGTAACATATGAATACTTAAATCAGATATTTTCGTAGGCGATACCCTCCCAAAGGACTGTTTGGGGGTAACACCCCAAAGGTCAACCCCCAGACAAATCTTGGCTACCTTATTCGGGTTATGATTAATTTTCTAACTCCATAAAATTAACAAGAGAAAATTAAAAATTTGATACTAGATAAAACAAAAATTTAATTCTTTGTTTTTTAAAAATAGTATATATATATAATTGTGATCTCAAAATAAGAATTTTGATAAATTTTAATTTAAGACACTGTGAAATTTAAAATTTAACAAAGATAGAAAATTGATTTTCTGAATATTTTGTAAAGCGTGATTATGTTTATTACTTTTTTTCAAATTACTTACTAAGATAACAAATATAATCCTCCTAATTAATTGAGCTCAAGATTGAACAGGACATCAAATACTTGTCCTTAAAATATCAAATAATAAATTAAATCGTCCCTTGATGTTATCAGGACCTTGAATCTTATATTATGGAATTTAATCAATAATAGATATTGAAACTATGTCATCTTTTGATAAGATTTTCATAGTTTCTTATTCTGCAATTAAGTAACAATTGTAAAACATGTGTGCTCTTTACGTGAGCATTTGTAGGTAATGGATAACATCATAAATAATATTAGCAAAACAACTTTAAAATATATCGGTGGGCTCCACCATAGAATACATGAATAAGAATTTTGTCTACATTATAGTTTATCTTTAAACCTGTAGAGTAACAAAAGGACTTGATAAGAACCTAAAACAAAAAGCGACTTGACGTGAATATTTATTGTAAACTTATTTTATATATCTGAAGCAATCCTGTTACCAATGTCTTAAGTAATTGAGAAAATAAAAAAAAAGAGGTAAGGATGATGTTTAAATAGAATTTTTAAAATAAAATGAATGTGATATAGTAATAATAACTAATAAGTCATCTGCATATTTTTTCGCATCATTTGCAATTTACCCGTTTCAGGCTCGACTAATCTCATTGACACTGGGTAATATATAAAAAAAGAATAATTAACCAATTTTATCTTCTTTGAATTTATACTTGTGAATTATATATAGAAATATAAAAGGGTTTATTTATTAGGGCAATATGCTTGTCAAGCTAAAAATATTATTATAATTTTTTAAAAGATATTAAATGTGATATGACATCAGGAATATTATTTATTAATTATTTTTATACTTGTATCCGGGCCTCGTTTAATTTAGTCAATTTAGCTAAATCTTCACGGGAATAAACGTCTGGATAATGGCTTTTCGAAAAGGCTAATTCCAAGGATGATAATTGTTCTTGGGTGAAAGTCGTGCGATGTCGTCTCCTTGCCGTTGAGGTCACTTGACCATGAGTTGTCAAACCGCTACTATTACTATTGCCGTTAATCGTTGTGATATCATGCGCTATTTCTCTTTTACGTTCCTGTTTAACTTTTACCATTTTAGAATGTTGAACTTTTTGGACCTTTTGAATCTTTTGAATAATAGTTTGGGAATATTCGATAACATTTGTTCCATTCTCATAAAAATCCTGGCAATCGTGTTTGCAATCTTCTCCAGCTAGGAAATAATCCTTATTGGCCAACATGGTAATTAATATAAAAATAAATAAATCGGGGATGTGAGGGAGGCTTATAATGAATTAATAGTTGTATAACAAATATTCTGATCTTTTTGATCCTTTTTAAAGGTTCGGGTGTCAGTCCAAGATTAATAGACATTATATATAATATTCTTTTCAATTCATTGGAGGATGTAAATATATCTTCAAATATTTTAGAGAAAGTGTTTGGAACAAATTATTTCATTTTTGTTTGTAATTATTTGATATTTATTTTATATTAGTTAAAATAATATGAAAATTCCGATAACTATAAGTTACTCTTATTATTGATTGATATGATATAATAAATATCATATATAAATGCTTTTTATTTTTATTAAAAATATTAAATTGATATTAAAAAAAATTGTTAAAATGATTGATAAATATATAATGTAATTTGATCCTTGACCTTAGCATAAAATGGTAAATTTGATTATTATATTTAGTTATATCTCATCATCATTTTTATCCTTAGGTTTGTCCAGTAGGGTCACTAGGAAGATGAGAGGCGAACAGGGGCTCGAAAATTTGAAAAACCCTCTTAATTTTTTTTAAAATTGACGTTAAAAAAATAAGGTCATTTAAGAGGTCATTTTGAAATTCAAAAAAGGGTCATTTTCAAAAATATTACCTAAAAAAGATAATTCCGGTAATTTAAAAAAAATGATTTTTGAGTCCCTCCTCCGAAGAGTAAAGGCTAGTGACACCATTGGGTTCATCTCAGTGGTCCATTTCCATGAGGTCATGTGGCGAAACGTATACTTTGCTGCTTAGTGAATTGAATTGGTTCGATCGGACAAATTTGCTAAGGGCCTGGTTAAACCAATGAGTACCGCTTGTGTATCTTTGGACGTGAACGAAAAATGATCAAAAAATTACTAAGAGAAGCAGATAGTTGAGCAAGCTTAATGTGCAGCTATCGAATAATTAAGAATTTTAATTAAAAAACTTTTCAAAAGAGGATATTTAAAACAATTATTTTTATACTATATTTTGATCAGCTAATATTATAACAGATAAATATTGAATATTTTTATAATTTTTTAAAAATTTACGCATTCATTCCGATAATTCCCACTGATTTAACAACTTTTTGGGAATCGCATAAGGAACTTGGTTCTCACATTCGTAAACTTATGGATGAACCTCGTTTAGGCTTCTTTTCGAGGCAAAGACCTGCCATTGCTTTTCACAAGGCTGCCGGAAGATTGGCCCCCAAAAATTGGCTCCTGTAAAATTTGCAAAATTGGCCCCAATAAAATGGCACCCGGAAAATTAATTCCCAAAAATTTGGTTCCCAAAAAATTGGCCTCAAAAATTATTTTCTCTTTTTTAATATCCAAACATTAAAATATGAATTCTGAACAGAAATTAAATAAATTACAAATTCAAGGGATATTATTATTTATACCAGAGACCATCTGGAGGCCCTGTCCTATTTTCTGAAAAATACTCGGGCTGTGCCGTATATTTTAAAACCAAATTTTTAAATCGCGCCATTATTAGCTATAAAGATCAAAAAAAATGTAATATATTTTAAAAAACAGGCTGCAGGTTTCTGATTTATATTTAATAAAATTTATTAATTAATTGAGGCTAAGATCCTAATACAGAAAATTAAAATGTAATGCTATTTTTTTCACTACATTAGAATTGAAGAACTTTTTAATGATATATGTTCATCTTAAAAACGGGCAAGTCATATTAAAATCTAATTTACGGGAAAGATGAAAAAGAGGGTCGCAGAAAATATGACTAAATCTCCATATATTTACCAAAAATGTTTTACCAAAATATTATGCATGATACAATACTAAAAATTCTGTGATTATTCTATCTTTGTTTCCTGTGAGATAATGAATGGTCTTCATACTGAAGAGAGAATAACATTTTTTGGAACAGATAATTATTAAAATTTCTATCAGAAACCATATAGGGATATATGGGTTGTAAATAAATGCAAGAAATTATTTTAGTTGGGTGTCATCATTTTAAGATTTTTTCCCAGATCTTTCAAATATGGGTTTTGAAAAAAAGCGTGGATGGAAACTATGTAAAAAAAGCTATATAAATACAAGTTGTATTATAATGTGAAAAAAAATATAATATTTTTTGGTTGTTTAATTGTTCCATTTTTCTTTTTTTAAAGTTTTTGAGGGAGATGGAGAGCATTTTTGGATTGGCAAATTTTCGAGGGCTAATTTTCAGACAATCATATATATTATAAAGTAATATAAATAAATAAATTATTCGAAATCAGTTCGTTATATTAGGTTATTTTTGATTTTCTATAATCAAAAGGATATAATTATCTAAGATAAAAATTCCTATATATGGAAAAATAATGATAAAAATTTCTTAAAATTATTATTTTTACTTTTATATTTGATGCTAAAAAGTAGCCACCAATAGAGTAGAGGTTACAGATCCAGAGGATCGCCCCTGAGATCACCATCGCCAGCCTCTCCCTACTTCATATCTATATTAAATATTATTAGGGTAAAACGGCGCAAATGGCACATCTGAACACTTTATATTTTGAAAACATCTACATTATAGGTATAATTAAATATATAATATGTGACATCGGCAAAAATACTGTAACAATATCTCTCACTTATGATTTCATTGTTTATTATAAAATATTAATTATAAATTATAAAACAAAAAAATTTTGATATTAAAACTTAGAACCCTTGGTAAAGATGCATTTCATATGGTTCTTATCTCTAATACTAAGATATTTTTATTAGGGTTAGGAAATCGATTTGGAACATTCGTGGGGAGAAGTTCATTGGCCTCTCTAAAAATGAGGGGGGGGGGGGGTTATTTGGAAGCTCGAGCCCCTTCGAAATTTTGAAGAACCTCGGTAAAATTTATAGAGAATACAATTATCAATTTTGATATTTTTTTTGAAGCCCCATCCCCTCCACACAGATTTTAGATTTCAAAAAATTTTAATAATAATTTTATTGTATAAAAATTTAAAAAATGATTCTCTGAACTAAATATAAAAACATATTTACAGATGTAAATTTTTTGGTCAAATATATTTTTACATAAAGGCCTTTTCATAGATCCGAGTAGGAAACTATTCGGACACTATATAACAAAAGCAAAATATAAATCAGAGACCTGCAGAGGTGCCATTTACATGGTCCGGCCACATGGTCCGGCCAGGTTTTATATTTTCAGGCCCAGCCCGAATTCCTTTTAAAAAATTTTTATTGCCGATTTAAAATATTAGGTTTAAAATATACGGCCTGGCTCGGGTATTTAAAAATTAAAATAGGATCCAGCCCGTGACAGGTTTCTAAATATATATATAAATGAATTATCAAAATTAACACGGCAATATTTTAAACTACATCAAGAAATAAAACGAAAACATTATTTTCATTTGTATATATTTTAAATAAATATTGATTTTTTAAATTATAATAATCATCAATTAATTATGTTAATTGTTAGTCAGATCCTACTGCAATTGATAAAATCTTCGGGGCAATTCCTTTTTTAATATAATAAATCATAATTCCTTCAATTTATTAATAATTCCTTTCTATCTATTGCATCGGATTCTTCTAGTGGTAAAACTAAAAAAAGTGATCATTGTAAAAAATACATGATTATAAGAATATGGCCCTTTTTAATGGCAAATCAACGATCTGGCAATGCTCATTATTTATTACAAAAATATCACAAAACAGCCAGCTGGAAATGTATTCTGAAATTTATAACCTCACAAATCATGAATCAGGTTATTATACGTAGTTATGGCTAATGATGCTCGTGAGTCCTGATATCAGTTCACATGAGCAATTTTGTATCAAAGAGAGTTCAGTTAAGATATATTTATATTTTGAAAAGATTGATAACCTGTATGCAAAGTCACGTACGTCTTTCTGGTGTACATGAATAGTTTAGGGCTAAGCATGTAATGACAACATAAATATAGTGTATTGCTATGCTCATATGCTAAATTTGATATTAATATTATCATGTAATTGCTGTGCGCCCAAACCAATTTTTTTTTTAAGTGCTGTTAAAAAACATATATGGTTGTTTTTCAAAATCTGTTATTCACCAAAAATTTAAGGAAACAAAGAGTATATTAGAATTAAAGATAAAAAGAAAATATAGTAGAGCTGAGTTCTCTAAGATATGGTCCTCTAGACGCGGTAAAAGATACATTTCTAGCGATAATACCATTAGATATTTTACTATAATTTGTTTTATTTATATTTATTTAATAAAATTGTTATCAGGATGGTGATATTTCAACATAATATCTTTTTTTAGAGATCTGATTTATTAATGTTTGATACTTATTTTTCCTTACTTTTTGATATATAATTTTTGTACAGTCTCTGAAGAGAAAACGATCTTCCATATTTAATAACTCTGTTCAAGTAGATGATACCATTTCTTTCTCTTCATCTGGACAAACATATTTATTTAACATATAACATATTTAAACCATATTTTGGATGATTTGAGACAAAAATTCATGGACATAATTACTTAAGGTAAAAAAAGGACACAAATTCCCCCAGTTATGATAGACATAAACATATACCGTAAATAAAACTTCAAAAATTTGTAAAAAAAGAAATAGCAATTTACCTTACTACGACTTATTCCATAGCTGGTGAATTTTTAACCTTAATAACCTAGCCTTAATTTTAAACCGGTTTAACAAGTTGTTCCTAAGTCCCAGTAACCTCTGGGTCAGAAGAATATTGACAATCTGCGGTTTCCCGTATAAATTTTTCTAGGGGCCATAACCCCAATGTCCTCCCTCCATTGGTCATTGGTTTGCTTTTGCCTCAACTTTTGTCCATATTAAGCGAGTATCTATTACTAAATGGGGTGAAGTGATCTCCCTCATTTTTTAATAGTGCGTTTTTTTTAAAATTATTCCTATTTTCTTATTTTTTAATATAGTTTTAATCAGAGGGTCGAACCTTAGGAAATCTAGG